CTACTTGAGTCCTACTTGGGTCCTACTTGGGTCCTACTTGGGTCCTTCTTGGGTCCTAATTGGGTCCTAGTTGGGTCCTACATGGGTTCTACTTGGGTCCTACTCAAAAATCTGCAAAAGTTCAAGTTTATGAAAAAAAATCATATGAATTGCAAATGTTGTGTAAATCCCCCTAACAGGAGTGGGTGCACAGCTTTGACAAATTTATGCAATCTGCTTCCTCTAAGGCTTTCTGAAAGACTTAAAAAGTAAAAAATTTGGAAGATTTGATCCGCAAATGAGGGGCATCTTTTAGCAGACAAATTAAAATTTAGAAGAGCCTTCAGACTATTAATTTCTAAGTTTTGTCCAAAAAAATTAGGAACTGTCTTAAAAAAAGGAAAAATTCGGACTGAACAATTTTAGATATGCATTTTTATTTTTGGCAAAAAATGCAAACATAACATTGAGGTTGAGAAACACATTTTTCAAGGATATTTTGTGATTAAAACTGTTATAGACTTTTTTTGTCAGTTATGAAAATATAAAATGCAAAAATATAAAAATGCGAAAATTTGAAAATATGAAAATATGAAAATATAAAAATATAAAAAAGTATAAAATGCAAAAATATGAAAATATAAAAATATAAAGATATAAAAATGTAAAAATGTAAAATGCGAAAATATGAAAATATGAAAATGTAAAAATATAAAAAAATATGAAATGCGAAAATATGAAAATATAAAAAATATAAACGCAAAAATATAACAATATAACAATATGAAATGCAAAAGTATGAAAATATGACAATACAAAATTGCGAAAATATAAAATTATAAAAATACTAGGCTTTCAGGGCGCTTCGCGCCCATCTTCTATTTCAATTGTGAACATTTTCTGTTTGTATACATTGTAAAACAAAACAAAAATAAATATACCGGGGGAAGAAGTTTTCTTTCTAAGTTCTTCTTTGCAAGTGCTGCTGGACCATACAGGTGCAAGATATGATCTTAAAAATACATATAAAAAGATATAATTTAAAAAAGTAAAAATAAAATTCAAAATCCAGAATAATATGGCTTAACTAGCTGAACTGCCCGGTGTTGCCCAGGTTACTCAATCACTCCAGTCGTTTACCCGTGCTTAGTAAAAGTAAATGTAAAAAGCCTTTGTTCCCCTTGGTATAAAAAATTCAGCCATATCGGTTCCATTGTTTCTTATAAACAAGAAATGCGGAAATTGTAAATCAGGAATTGTCATTTGCCATCTTTGCCTGGTGGGCCAATTGAAAATACGTTTTTGTAAGGAATTGTTAAAAGGCTCTTTCCATGGTACAATATACTTTTGTACTAATTTAAAATTAAATTAAATTAAAAATTAGAAATACAAAAACAAATATGTTTTAAAAAAATAAGTGTGCAACCTGTGAGCATCTTATTGCTCTGTGCTAGATCCAATGGTTCGGGAAGAACGCACAGATATTTTTGCAGAAATCTTTCATCTATAAAATGCAGTCTTTCCTGAAACAAGATAAATTGTAAATTGTTCAGGAACTCAAATGTTTTATATTTTGGTTGTTGTAAAACTCTTGTGCCTTTAACCGCTGGGAATGCTAATTGTATATTAGATAATTAGATAATTAGATGATTAGTATGTAACATGTGGTCTGTAACCACTGTCAGGGTGCATACACACATTTTAATAGCTAACAAATTAAGTAAAAATTTTAAACCCAGCGATTAAAAAAAATGTTCCGTAAAAAGTGTGAAACCAATGCGGTTAAGGCAAAAATATTCATCTAAAAATCACAATTTCAGGAGTTAACCAAAATTTATAATTTGATAAAGAAAATAGTTGGACTTCTTATTTTAAAACTTCGTCGTAGATCCTTGGCTCGATCTCAACCTACTTGACTAGATCTCAACCTATTTTGCTAGATCTAAACCTTAGCTAGATCTCAACCTACTTGGCTGATCTCAACCTTGGCTAGATCTCAACCTACTTGGCTAATCTCAACCTTGGCTAGATCTCAACCTACTTGGCTAGATCTCAACCTTGGCTAGATCTCAACCTACTTGGCTAATCTCAACCTTGTCTAGATCTCAACCTGCTTGACTAGATCTCAACCTACTTGACTAGATCTCAACCTTAGCTAGATCTCAACCTTAGCTAGATCTCAGCCTTGGCTGGATATTAACCTTGGCTAGATCTCAACCTTGGCTAAATCTCAACCTTGGCTAGATCTCAACCTTGGCTAAATCTCAACCTTGGCTAGATCTCAACTTTGGCTAGATCTCAATCTTGGTTAGATCTCAACCTTGGCTAGATCTCAGCCTTGGCTATATCTCAACCTTGGCCAGATCTCAGCCTTGGCTTGATCTCAACCTTGGCTAGATATAAACCTTGGCTAAATCTCAACTTTGGCTAGATCTCAAACTTGGCTAGATCTCAACCTTGGCTAGATCTCAACCTTGGCTAGATGTCAGCCTTGGCTATATCTCAACCTTGGCTAGATCTCAACCTTGGCTTTATCTCAAATGGCTGGATCTCGTACAATCGCTGAAATTTTTTCTTCATTGCATTCACTCCATCTTACTTTTGTCTCTTCAATTATGTATTTGCATTTTTTATTTTTCTAAAGAAAGGATGGAATTAATAAATGGAAGGTTGAACTAAGTACGAATGAACAACTTCTTTACTTGCACAATGAAAATTAGTTGAATTAGCCCTAACTATTCCGTATGAGTCAATTCCAGTTTCAGTATTCCGGTTCTAATTAGTAATTAGGATTTTCACCTTATAGCCTTGGGGGCAAATAAGTAAAAAATTACAGTAAAGGATAACACTAATAATTAGACAAAAATTAATTATTTATTATTTGCAATTGTTTCCATACACAATATGTTGTCCTTGGGCGTTTAAATATAATTTTTGTGCACAGTTTTGGTAGTTTTTGAATGTGCAAGATTCGGCAAAGCATAGCTTAACCTGAAACTTCCGGCAATCTTAACTTGAAACAAAGTCTAAAACTATTGCTCTCACAGAAATGTTTGTATGAAAAGTAAATAATAAAAACTAAACTTACGTAAATTGCAAAATGTCCTATTTTGCCTGAAATAATCTCAACTCCAGCCATGATATGATCAAACATCTTCAGGTTTATCTCCTCGCTATATCAGACAAAATTTAATCAAAATTATACTATTTCTTGAAAATACCAATCCCCCTTAAAAAAACAAATGTTTTGCCCCCAATTGTCTGGGAATTTCCTTAAGTTTTTTATCCTCTAATTTGTTGTAATTTTTGTCCAAGCAAATTTCTAAGAAAGCTCGTAACTAATGATTTTTAATAATAAAACCCGTCAAAATGTATTAAAATAAATTTAAGGATTTTTATTCTAATAATAGTAATGCTCGTTTTAGTCAATGTTAATTTAGCACCCAAAAAAGTTCAGTTTCCAAAACTCCAGAAGACCCCCATAGGCTAATTTTTAAAATTACCTTATAGTCGGTTTTCCATTAGTTTTATCAATCTTCAGAAGGTTCACCAAAGGTTTTATTGTACTACCCTAAACAAAGGTTTATTGTACTACCATTTATTGTACTACCCTAAACAAAGGTTTTATTGTACTACCTTAAACAAGGGTTTTATTGTACTACCCTAAGCAAAGATTTATTGTACTACCCTAAACAAAGGTTTATACTTTATAGTACTACCGTAAGCACCGTAAGCAAAGGTTTATTGTACTACCCTAAACAAAAATTTTTTGTACTACCCTAAACAAAGATTTATTGTACTACCATAAACAAAGGTTTATTGTACTACCCTAAACAAAGGTGTATTGTACTACCCTAAACAAAGATTTATTGTACTACCCTAACCAAAGGTTTTATTGTACTACCCTAAACAAAGGTTTATTGTACTACCCTAAACAAAGGTTTTATTGTACTACCCTAAACAAAGGTTTATTGTACTACCCTAAACAAAGGTTTTATTGTACTACTCTAAACAAAGCTTTATTGGACTACACTAAACAAAGATTTATTTTGTTTTCCAAAAAAAGGATAGTTTTACCCTTAAAGCATCATCTATTTAAAAAAAATATGCTAATTACAAGTTTAAAGTCCTTACTACAGGAATGCCCCGAAGACTGTGGAATTGGAAGACGAAATGTGATCAATATGTGTTTTTGATGTTGTTATGAAGCAAATAGTTTAATTTAACCAGAGCTTATAAGCTCTTAATAATTGTGAAATAGTCTCTGCACAAAATTGCACAATTCATATGTTTCATGATCGCTGGATTATTTGAATTTGAGTCTTAACAGTCTTGTAACCTATTCCACAATTTTTAGGGTCTCACTGTATGATAAATTTATACCTGTAGAAACACAGTGAAGATTATTACAGTGAGGGTTGCAGTCACAAATATTCCTAGACATTTAATTTCTTCACATTTACTATCTAGAGAGGGAGGGAAGGCAACCCACACCCGTATTACCACCCGACTCACAAATAACATCACAAAATGGTGCTTTCAACATGTGCTTATCCCATTATTCTTTTTGTATTAAACCTGCGGCTAGGACTGTAGAATTATCAATAAGAAGAACTAGAGAGAAACCAACAGCTCCTCGTAGACCACCATAAGACATTAGAAACTGCTCCTAAATAAATAATATTTCAAACCAAAATTTAAATGGATTGATTTTTTACCTTTCCTAAATATACTTACATCCTTATTTTTCAATGTAGAACTTTTTTTCTATACGCAAGACACAAAAACTGTTGGGTATGAAGACCTATTAAATCACTTATAAGGGTTAAATGGGTCTATTTACTCTTCCTTGTACTTTTAATTTCAGTTTTTTTGATTTCAAATATAACTTTCGAACTTTAAAAAAAAAGATTTATCCGTTCAAAAATTATAAAATTCTTAGAAATAGAAGCAAAAATTTAGATGTTTAACTTTTTATATTCCCTCCCACTTGATATTATTCTTAAAAAAATTGCAACTTTTATCATTCTTTGATACTATGAACTTCTTTTACATTTACAGCTGATCCGAGTCATTTACAGCTGATCCGAGTCATTTACAGCTGAACCAAGTCATTTCCATAAAAAAGTTTTTCGCTGAACGCCTTGTTTATAGTGTGAAGATAGGTAAAAAATAAGTTACCATTTAAATATGGGTTACCAGTAACCACCTCCTAGTACCTACTTCCTTAGAAACAGGTAAACATATGGTGGTTAGAAAGAGTTTAAACTTGAAATTAAGGTTTCAAAGTTTTGCAAATTTTTAATCATTTTCAATCCTCGATATAAATTTTAGATAAAAATTAACGAAAAATTTGGCAAAAAATTAATGAAAATGTATTCTGACCTCTAAGTTAATGGTCTTGACCCCGTGTCTGAACAGGTTTACGAAGAAGGTTAATGAGAAGATACTGATGAATCTAACAATCAAAGTCAGACCAACCGTCCATAGTACAAATCCTAAAAGTATCCATAGTACAAATCCTAAAAGTGTCCATAGTACAAATCCTAAAAGTATTCATAGTACGAATACTGAAAGTGTCCATAGTACAAATCCTAAAAGTATCTATAGTACATATCCTAAAGGTGTCCATAGTACAAATCCTAAAAGTGTCCATAGTACAAATCCAAAAAGTCTCCATAGTACAAATCCTAAAAGTATCCATAGTACAAATCCTAAAAGTATCCATAGTACAAATCCTAAAAGTATCCATTGTACAAATCCTAAATAGAATTTGAATATTACATGACCAAAATACATTTAGATCTAAATTTTCAATGGATCTTCTAAATCAATTTTAAAAAAGCGATTTCTTCTGAAAATACTGTTTTGTCGTTTGGCAATATGTTTGATTAACTCTGACTTCTTTTTTAGTTATTCAGTTTTTGCGTTCAAGAGGTTCCGCAAAATTCTAAGAAATGTCAAAAGTTTGAATGATATATACTTGGTTTAAAGATTTCAGCAACTTTTTTGCTTTCAACTGTTTCAGATTTTTCAGCAAGTTTTTTGGTTTCAACTGCTGGTTTTCAGATTTTTCAGCAACTTTTAAATATAACTTTTCTTGAATAACGTTTTTGCTTTCAACCGCTCGATTAAAGATCTGTCAGCACTTTTCTACCTGTTGCTGGTTTAAAGTTTTTCAGCAACTTTTTGCTTTCAACCGCTGGTTTTTTAGATTTTTCAACAATTTTTTTGCTTTTAACCGCTTTCTTTCAAATTTTTTAGCAACTTTTTTCTTTCAACCACTGATAAACAAATTTTCTTGAATTTTCCAACCCCCGGGTTTAAACCTTTTAATAATTTTTTTGGCTTATAACCCATGATTTAAAAAAATGTTCAGCCGTTTTTTAAGCGTCAACCGTTGGGTTTACTATTTTTACTTACTTCTTTTCTTTCAACCGCTGGGTTTTAGACTTTTAACAATTTTTCTTTTTACCACCGGAAAAAAGTTTTTCTTTAAAAACGTTTTTGCTTTCAACCGCTTTAGATATTGAATAACTAATTTTTGTTTTCAACCACCGATTTTGAGATTTCTCAGCAAATTTTTTTCTTTCAACCGCCAGGTTTTAGATTATGACCAACTTTTTACTTTCAACCACTGCAAAACATATTTATTTGAAAATGCTTTTTCTTTGAACCGCTGTGTTTAAGATTTTAATAATTTTTTTCTTTCAGCCGCTGTGGTTCAGATTTTAATAAATTTTTTCTTTCAACCGCTGTGTTTAAGATTTTAATAATTTTTTTATTTCAACTGTTATGTTTAAGATTTTAATAATTTTTTTCTTTCAACCGCTGTTTTAAGATTGTTCAACTACCTTTTTTCTTTCAACCGCTGTGTTTAAGATTTTGAATAACTTTTTACTATAAATTAAAGAAAAACAGTTTTTTCTTAAAAAACAATTTTGTTTTCGACCGCTGGGTTTAAAACTAAGATTTTTTTGCTTTTAACAAGCAAGTGAGTTGTTGAAAAATCTAAAAAACCAGCGGTTGAAAGCAAAAAAGTTGCTGAAAAAATTTAAACCAGCAGTTGAAAGCAAAAACAATATTCAAGAAAAGTTATATTTTCAACGGTTGAAAGTTAAAAAGTTGCTGTAAAATCTGAAAAACAGCAGTTGAAAGAAAAAATAATATTCAAGAAAAATTATATTTTCAGCGGTTGAAAGTTAAAAAGTTGCTGAAAAATATTTAAACCAGCAGTTGAAAGCAAAAACAATATTCAAGAAAAGTTATATTTAAATAAAAGGTGCTGAAAAATCTGAAAACCAGCAGTTGAAAGCAGAAAAGGTGATAAAAATCTGAAAACCAGATGTTGAAAGCAAAAAATGTTATTCAAGAAACGTTTTATTTTCAGCGGTTGAAAGTTAAAAAGTTGCTGAAAATCTGAAAACCAGTGGTTGAAAGCAAAAAACTTGCTGAAAAATCTGAAAACAGTTGAAAGCAAAAAAGTTGTTGAAAAATCTTTAAACCAACGGTTGAAAGCAAAAAAGTTACTAAAAAATATGAAAACCAGCGGTTGAAAGCAAAAACGTTATTCAAGAAAAATTATATTTCATTTGTTGAAATGTGAACGGAAAATTTCGATTTAGCAGTTGGACAAATTGTAAATTTGAAAAAAAGGTGCATATCTTATTCTGAACTGTGTAGATTGATCTCAACCGCTCCCGCTGAGTTTTTTTCTCCAAAGTATATATCATTCAAAAAAATTTTCTCTAAAAGTTTGCCAAATCGAAATACTTGAAGGCCTTGAAGGCCTTGCAGAGATTGAAATTCGGAACGATGTCAACTTTCGTAGAGAGCCTTTTTTCCCAATTTTATGTGCTTTGAATGATTTGAATTGAACTGTATACCTGTGTGCCACACATGAGCCCCAAAAAGCGCCATTCCAAGATACAGGAATATAATTCCTTCGCAAGTAGAGCTCAGCATCTTAGTGAAGTAACTAGGAATTATATTAAGGATGAATGTTTAAATTAATAAACGGTGTAGGATGAATAGGAAAGGATGAATTAGAAATTGTAAAGGATTAAAAGAAATGAATAAATGAATAAACATTAAAGGATTAATAGGAATGAACAGATTAGTGAATAGTAAAGGATGAATAGAAATGAATAAATTAGTGAATGGTAAAGCATTAAAAGGAATGAATAAATTAGTAGATCGTATAGGATGAATTGCTGAATGAATAAATTAGTAAATAGGAAAGAAAGAATAAGGATAATACATCAAAGAATGAATGAATAGATGAATAGTAATAAACAGAATTACTTAATAGTTGTTCTGGATTGTTGTGAAATATTCTTCAACGAGTAATGCGCTTGAACCATTCCGCATCCTAAACAATTACAACAAAAATGATTACAATGATAATAATGGTTAAAAAAATGACAATCATAACAATGTTTATTTGAAAGTTAAAATAATGATAAAAAGAAAGTTAATGAAGTTTATAAAGATAAGAAAAATTAATAAAAAAAAGAAATTAAAACAAGAATGAAAATAATAATGATAATATTAATGTTGGTGACACTTCTAATAAAGAAAGAAATACTGATAAGATAATGACGCTGAGAGGCAAATAATGAAAATAATAATGATACTATTGATAATATTGATAATAATGATAATAATGATATGAAATGATAATTATGAAACTAAACATCACCACAATAATGGTACTCATAATAAGTATGAAAAATATGATAATATTGATAGTAAGGATAACAATTATAATTACAATAATGATTATGTTAATAGTTATGTTTACAATTATGATAGAAATGAAAATAATGATGATGATAATATCAATAATGAAAATAATAACACCAATAATTACAGCTATAATAATGATACTTGACCTATGAGACTAATGATTCCGGACCAGCCGACCAGGTCCGCCATCAAATATGACAAATATGCCAAACCAAATATTGCCAAGGGTTCTGAACCATTTTTTTTACAAAAATTGTATTTTTTTACTAAATGGGAAAATAAAAAACTCGATTGCAAAAATAATTGATTTCTATTCTTTGCAAAATAGAATTTCCCAGGAATATGGCAGGGTGATTTTTATAAATCGATTTTTTCATTTGTGCTTCATTTGATGGAAAATCCGCAAATTTGAATAACAAATTTTCCAATTTTTTTTATAAATTGTCTGACATTTGATAATTTCCGACGCAACAATGGCTACATCCAGAAAATAAAATTACAGGTCTCCCTTCAACAGGTCAATCAGTGTCTGTCTAAAAAAAGGCATTTTCCTCATTTTTCACCTAAAATTATTTTTTTTTTAAATTTTGAATTATGTTTACTGACCAGTTGTAATAACTTGAAAGGACCCTATCTAGATACATGAGAGGATCTTGTAGAATACGAAACCAGCTTTTAAGATATTCAATTCGTCCTCCATGGGATGTAAACAAGTCAAATTGTCCAAAATATCGGATTCAAAGTTTAGAAGTTGTTTGAGAGCCTCCTTAAGTAGAAAAGAATAACAATGCTGGAGATAATATATTTCTTTATCAAATGTCAGATGTAATAAAGCGTTAATAAATATTTAAATTAATTCATTGTTGTACCTTATTTTGCTTTGGTGAGCATTAAAAAAATCGACTTTTAAAAATCACCCTGTAGTTTTGATCTCCAAATATACTCCGTTAGATTTCCTTCCAATTGTTGTGTCTGCAAGGAGAAAATGATTAAAAACCACTTATACTAAAGACCGTTGAACCCAAAATTCGCGAAGTGGCATTAATCCACTGAAATCGTAAATAATTCAATAAAATTAAAAACGACTCATTCAGGCTTTACAACCTACAATCGTCGAATTCAATTTCATGCATTTTTTGCTTGCATATATATATTCGACAATTATAGGTTTTAGTATCTGAATAAGTAGTTTTAAATTAAATTAAATTATTTACGATCTGAGTGGAAAACGCTCTTTTTGGTGTAAAACTCTTTTAACCATGTTCTCAATATGGACGCAACAGATAGAAGTAAAATTAGTAATGATCGATATCGAATTCAATTCGATATTAGTCTATACCCCTATTCATTTTTTGCGAACCCTCTCTTTATGAAATTAAGCTTGTTATTTAGTCACGGGTTCCCTCGCCTTTTTCTCTCAAATGCCCTTGTTACGCTCTGTATGTTTTGTAGACAAAAATGGTCGAGGAACTCTTGGCAAAGAAAAAGTTTCTGAACTTTAGTTTTAAATAATCTAAATTTAAATTTTTAAATGTAACTCTATGAAGATTGATCTTACATAACGATAACAAAAATATGTGCAATGAGATGTTATAATAAAAATAGCTTTCTTTTAAACAGTTTTCTCTTTTTATGAAAAATGGTATTAATTGTGGGTCTTTATTTATGAATGATTGCCTTTTTTCTCTAATGTTAATTACGAGAAACAAGAAATAAACTTTTAAATGAAGAGTTTTCTGAGTTGCCTTTTACAAATTTACTAATTTAAAAATGGTTTCCTAAAACTCTAATTTCTGAAGTTGCTTTCGTGATAAGAGCTGTAATAATTCCAAATATAAATCCTATTATCAGACCTCCTGGAGTAGATAGAATATAATGATGAAAACTTTTATTTCTTTTGATGAGTATAGGTTGTCTCAAAAATCATGGAAATTCCGGGATTCCTACAATGTATTTAGAGTTTCTGATAGAGTTTGCAGAAGAACCCATGATGTAGGAGAATAGGAAGACGACTTTTATGTCTTCCGTCTTTTCCAAAATAATCTAATTTTGTCTTTTTATTGCATAAAAACATTTAAAAATTTACTTAATTTTTAAAAGATTTACTCAAGTGGGAGCTATTGTATTGTGGAGGTCAAGATCATGCTTGATCTTGATCTTTTGTTAATCTGCAGATTAGTTTAATCTTCATTCTGTATCCTGCATTATAACCGTATCCAGTCACGGGTTGAAGGAAGCTTTGATCAGAGGACGAATAACTTACAGTGAAACCCTAAATAAGCCATACATCGAAAGAATTTATCAAATGTCGTCTTGACAATTTTTCAATGGGTTTTATACTTTTTTACGTAAATCTAAGTATTTACGAAAATAAATAAATAGCCATGAATATACGGGAACAGTTTTAAAGAGCTCCATATAATTATTTAATTAAAAAACTGAATATCTGCAACATTCCATTATCAGAAAGGGAAGAATACGACATTTGATGAATTCTTTCGATGTATGGCCTATTTAGGGTTTAATTGTATTACAAGTGGATATCGAGATCAAAAGATCGGAATTATAAGTATCCAAAACTAAAGTTGCCACCTCCCTGGTGTTAATGAATATTTCTATATTTCCTAGCGCCACAGTAAAAAAAGATGCAATTCCAAGGAAAATATCAGCAATCTCTACAGATACACCCTCAGCTTCCATACCTAATAAAGGAACTGATTACTGGGACCGTTCACTTATTTGGGTAATTTCAGGGTAAAATAAACAGCCTATTCGCCTATAGTCTTACTTTTCAAAGACAACTGTGGCCGTTTTTTCGTTCAGAATTTGAGCGGAAAGGGAAGGTCCCTCTCTATAGACACTATTTGATGTTTTTTTCAGTATGTTGAGGATCAAAATAAATTTCGAATATAAAATTAAACTGTAGAATCTAATCGTTAATTGTAAATGTCAATCAACAGTAAATAGGCTGTTTAGTTTACCCTGAAATTACCCAGATAAGTGAACGGTCCCTTTAATAATAACAATTGACAACTAAAAAAGGGACACAGCAATTCGGTAAAAATATTGTTAAACTGTTCATAACATTTTTTTTTTTTTAAAGTGATCAATTCCATGAAGTAATTAATGACAACTGATGTAGAAAGAGAATTGTAATTTTACCGTAAAAAGTATTTTTCCTTTTTTCTCAAAAATGTTAATAAAAAACTATTTCTTTGTTTTCTTCAAACCTGTAAATGCATTCATCATATTGTACAGAACTACAGCAACAGCATCATTTAACAGGGATTCTCCAAATACAAGGAAATATAAATCAGGGTTTACTCCAACCTTAAATAATATAAATCAGGGTTTACTGCAACCTTGAATAATATAAATCAGGGTTTACTCCAACCTTGAATAATATAAATCAGGGTTTACTCCAACCTTAAATAATATAAATCAGGGTTTACTGCAACCTTAAATAATATAAATCAGGGTTTACTTCTTTCTTATATTCATATCCGTTTTAAATAAGCCTGCTATAGATCTGATTGAGAAAAAAATAAAACAAATATTATTTTTAAATCTAAAATGGGAACCCAATCTCAAACCTTGTTGTAGTTTTACTTTTAGCACTAAACAGGAACAGTTTCGAATCCGATTTATTTTTTTTCGGCCATTTTTTTAGTTGGTTACATTTTTCAAAATGAATATAATACACTGAGTACGACTATATCTAGGCTTTAATATAGGAATAATGTTTAACCTCTGAGAACACTGCTAGAACAGCTACAGGGTCGACAGCTGAGATTAGACTGGAAAACAGGAGCAGTTGAATTGGTGTCAGAGAAGAGAATGTTTCCGGATCAGCTAGAATATTTATGTTCATGTTCATGTTCATGTTCATGTTCATGTTCATGTTCATGTTCATGTTCATGTTCATGTTCATGTTCATGTTCATGTTCATGTTCATGTTCATGTTCATGTTCATGTTCATGTTCATGTTCATGTTCATGTTCATGTTCATGTTCATGTTCANCCCCCATTCAAATTTAGTAACGAGTTTTTAAATAAAATAACCTTTTAGATGTCCTGGTTTAACGGTTTCTCTACACACAAATAATAAGTTAATCTTAAAAAAGTAAGAACACACCTTTTCTCATTCTATATTTTATTTTCTCTGGACCAAAGAAATATAAATGATTTGTTTTGACAAGTTTTGCGAAAAGTTTTGATTAATTTTATTCCTGTGATATCCGAGAGCAAAGTCTGATTTGTAAATCGTAGAGTTTCCCATTAATCCAAACTGGAAGAGAAAAACCAATCCACCGCCTAAAAGTAGAAATATTTTGCGTATAAAAGGGACTGTCAACGTAATTTCAAGTCTTGTGACTCAAACATCATGAACAACCCCTTAAAAGGAATAGTAAAATAATTTCAAGTGACCCCCCCCCCCCTTTAAAAACGTGCATGCACGATTAACAACGGTACCCGATACACGTTTATCTATTTCCTTTCTACCAGCTCTGTCGCAGGGTACTGCAGGTAACAGGGTACTGCAGGTTACAGGGTACTGCAGGTTACAGGGTACTGCAGGTAACAGGGTACTGCCGGGTATAGAGTTACAGGGTACTGCAGGTTACAGGGTACTGCAGGTTACAGGGTACTGCAGGTAACAGGGTACTGCCGGGTATAGAGTTCTGCAGGTAACAGGGTACTGCAGGTTACAGGGTACTGCAGGTTACAGGGTACTGCAGATTACAGGGTACTGTAGGGTATAGGGTACTGCAGGTTACCGGGTACTGCAGGTTACAAGGTACTTCAGGTTACAGGGTACTGCAGATTACAGGGTACTGTAGGGTATAGGGTACTGCAGGTTACCGGGTACTGCAGGTTACAAGGTACTGCAGGTTACAGGGTACTGCAGGGTACAGGGTACTTCAGATTACAGGGTACTGCAGGGTATAGAGTACTGCAGGTAACAGGGTACTGCAGGTAACAGGGTACTGCAGGTAACAGGGTACTGCAGGTAACAGGGTACTGCAGGTAACAGGGTACTGCAGGGTACAAGGGCACTGCAGGGTGCAGGGAATTGAAGGGTAATGGGTAACAAAGGTTACAGGGTACTGCAGTACCATGCACCCTGAGGGGTAATGGGGGTAATAAGTGGTAATGGGGTACTACGGGGTAATGGGAGTAATGGAAGGTACTGCAGTACCCAAGCAATACCCGACAGTACCCTGCAACACCCCACAGTACTCAAGTATTCCCCAATATCTTCTATTACTCCCTAGTACCTCCAGTACCTCCCAGTACCTGGCAATTCCTCCCAGTACCCCTTACTATCCCACCCAAGTAACCCCCAAGTAACAGGTAGTAATCAGTAGTAACCAACAGTACCATGCAGTACCCTACGGTACCTTGCAGTGCACCAACAGTACCACACAGTACCCCATATTACCCCACAGCCCACAGTACCCTGAGTATGCCACAGTACCCAGCAGTACCCAGCAGATATGGGGATTACAAATTGGCGTAGTTGCCGTCACTCCCTCCATTAAGTGATCAGCCAGCTTTTTCGTGCATGAAAATAATGCAAAGAAAAAAAGAAGTATATTTTACCTATTAGTAGGAAGTTTACAATTGTCCCAAGAACAGCAAATATTAGGATAGTTCCAAGATTCTCCATAAATACACGGTTGTGTAGAGAATAGGATGATTCTACAATCCGCACATTTGAATAACAAATTTTCCAATTTTTTTTATAAATTGTCTGACATTTGATAATTTCCGACGCAACAATGGCTACACCGAGAAAATCAAATTACAATAATAATAATAATAATAATAATAATAATAATAATAATAATGATAATAATAATAATAATGATAATACCTTGTATTAATGGAGGGAAATAACACCTTGTATTATCGGAGGGAAATAACACCTTGTATTATCGGAGGTAAATAACATCTTGTATTATCGGGGGAAAATAACACTTTGTATTATCGGAGGGAAATATCACCTTGTATTATCGGAGGGAAATAACACCTTGTATTATCGGAGGGATATGACACCTTGTACTATCGGAGGGATACAACACCTTGTATTATCGGAGGGATACAACACCTTGTATTATTGGAGGGATATAACACCTTGTATTATCGTAGGGATATGACACCTTGTATTATCGGAGGAAAAAAACACCTTATATTATCAGAGGGATATAACACCTTGTATTATCGGAGGGATATAATATCTTGTACTATCGGAGAGATATAACACCTTGTATTATCGGAGGGATATAACACCTTGAATTATTGGAGGGATATAATACCTTGTATTAACGGAGAGAAATAACACATTGTATTATTAAAAGGAGAAAAATTCTCGAATTATCAGAGGGATAAATAACACCTTGTATAATCCGAGGGATACAACACCTTTATTTTTGGAGGGAAATAATGCTTTGTATTGTCGGAGGAATATAACACCTTGTTTTATCGGAGGGATATAACACCTTGTGTAATCGGAGGGAAATAACACCTTGTATTATTGGAGGTAAATAACACCTTGTATTATCGGAGTGAAATAGCACCTTGTATTATCGGAGGGTAATAACACTTTGTATTATCGGAGGGATAAAACACCTTGTATTATCGGAGGGATATAACATCTTGTATTATCAGAGGGAAATAACACCTTTTATTATCGGAGGGATAGAACACCTTGTATTATCTGAGGGAAATAACACCTTGTATTATGGGAGGGATACAACACCTGTATTATCAGAGGGAAATAACACTTTGTATTATTAGAGGGATATAACACCTTGTTTTAACGGAGGGATATAACACCTTGTATTATCGGAGGGAAATAACACCTTGTATTATCGGAGGTAAATAACACCTTGTATTATCGGAGGGAAATATCACCTTGTATTATCGGAGGGAAATAACACCTTGTATTATCGGAGGGATGTAACACCTTGTATTATCGGAGAGATATAGCACCTTGTATTATCGGAGGGATATAATATCTTGTACTATCGGAGGGATACAACACCTTGTATTATCGGAGGGATATAACACCATGAATTATCGGAGGGATATAACACCTTGAATTATTGGAGGGATATAATACCTTGTATTAACGGAGAGATATAACACATTGTATTATTAAAGGGAGAAAAATTCTCGAATTATCAGAGGGATAAATTTCATCGTATAACCGTAGGATAAATTACTGGAGGGATTTTTATCGGATGATATGATGGGTCATATCACGAGGAGAGATATGATACCTTTTAGTTTTTATCGGATGGATCTCATACCTAGTATTATATCCGATATCTCTTTATTTAAAGGGATCTTATCATACCTAGTATTATTGGAGGCAGAAGCAAATAGAAGAATAGTTCTGGTGTAAACCTTGGGAAAAGAGGAGCTGTCACACATTCAGACAAATCACTCTAGAATTTGAAATAATTGTAAAAAGTGTACATTGCAGTGTTTGCTTAACAAATATACAAATATACAAATATACAACAAAATACAAGCTTAATATAGCATAATGTTTAATATAATAATAATAAATTAAATAAAAGTTTAATATAATATAATGTTTGATATAATAATAACAAAATGAATAAAAGTTTAATAAAAGTTTAATATAATATAATGTTTAATATAATAATAATAATATGATTAACAGTGAACCTGTGATCTACCCCCATCCACAATATTGATTACAACCCCTGAGATAGCTCCAACCACAATAAGAAGACAGGACTCAGGAACCCTGAAAATTTGCAGTATAAAAGGGAGTGTTAACCTTTTTAAAAAACGTCTAAAATCCTATTTGTTTACCAATGCCTGTGCGTCTTACGATTTTATTATGCACCTCTAAAAGTAAATTCAACCTAAAGTCTGACCGCGTCAACCTTGTTGCACCGGCTAGTCCTTATGAGTGTCTGCTTTTTTTACCCAATGTCCGGGCGATACAGTACAAACTGGGTTGACCCTGCTCAGAAATTCAAATGTGCTACGGCTGCCCGTGAATTAGAGCCAGAACATTTTGTACGCATGGAGAATACTTTGGTCCTAAGGGACTTCTTTAGATAGAGCAAAGTTGTATTCCTTTTTTGTAAAAAATTAGGTTACTATGTAATATTTAAAACATTGGTTACTCATACTAAAAAACTCCCGCGCCTCGCACCATTCTCTCCTTGTTCTCTGAGTCAAAGTAAAATATGGAACCTGAAGATTGGACAGTGCACCCCAGATCTTTCTAGAATACAGACGAGGAGTTTAATCTCCTGTTTGTATAGGAAGTCTGGGGGACAGTTATCAGACAGCTAACAGATAGAAATATTTGTATCATGCCTACCAGGGAACTAAGAAGGACACTGGCCTCCTTCCACTTCATTATACAGAAGTATATACACCCGAAGAGTCCTCCACATCACTGAGGATATCAGAGGACGCTCTTTACTATCCAGCTGGTTTTGGAGAGACAAACAGAAGGGTTGACCATACTCGCTTGTAGACGTCATCAAGAGATTCATCTCCTGTAGCTTCTAGAACTGGACCAATTGCTCTTGTACCAGCCTGTCTGAACTGCCCCTGGGATATCTTGGATACATAGGAGAACTAAGATACCCAAAATATCAGATGCTCCCTCATCTTAATATTAGAGACGCTGATCTTTACAGGCAGCTCTTCACATATCTTGAGCAGTTAGAAGATCCAGTCAGACTTAGATCTCCAAAATCAGAAGCTAAACCTGATACTGGAGACGCTGATCTTTACAGACAGTGCTTCATATATCTGGAACAGCTGAAAGATTTGGTCATGACCTAAGACTCCAAGATTAGAACCTAAACCTGATATTTGAGACTCTGCTCTTTAAAGACAGCTCTCCACATAAGTAGAATAAGATAATCTTGTGACAAGAGATGCTGATCTTAACAGACAGCTCTTCACATATCTGTTGTAGATATAGCTGCAGGACACACAGAAGAACTAAGACTTCTTATACACATAGGATAACTAGGATACCCAGGACACACAGGAGAGCTAGGCCTTCCAGAACATACAAGAGAACTAAGATATCAAGGACAAACAAGTCCAACTACAGACCAGCCAGTCCAACCACAGACCAAGATATATCCTCCAGCTGGTTCTATGAACAGAGCTATTGGAGACTTGGAGCAGATGGAGTGTTCGGACGGAGGAGAACTACATTACCCCGCCAGTACAGCAGAGGCTGCTCTATACTCTCCAGAGGATTCTGAGTACGGAGACGCCGCTCATAGTAGAGCAACTCTTCACAGACCTGTTGTGAGTCCAGCAAAGGCAGCAGCTGAGAACACAGTCAGGGCATCTCAGCTTGGAAGCGCAGTTATCGTAGAGGGACTTCAGGAGCAGCTCCGTTAGTTAAAGAAGCAGCTGAGAGTGTAGTAGAACCATCTCGGATTGTAGAAATAGCTAAAGGAGCAGAAACTATAGGAACAGCTCCAGTAATTAACAGCTAACATAGCAGAGACTCTCGGAGCAGCTCTGGTAATGAACAGTTAACGTAGCAGATTCTCTATGAGCAGCTCCGTTAATATAGGAAGCAGCTGGGAATGTAGTGAAAGCTGCCTAGATAGATATTGAACTGGAGCAGCTAAACAAGATATCGAGTTGGAGAAGCTGCCTAGATAGATACGGAACTGGAGCAGCTAAAACAAGATATTGAGAATAAGGAAGCTGCTCAGACAGACACTAACTGAAATAGACGAACCACAGTTTTTCAGATACCATAGAGAGCCGATTTAACAAGAATAACCTTAAACAGATGTATTTAGATCAATAAACTGAAAAGTTGATAAATCCCATTTATTCATACTCTGTGGAGGGAACATTAAAGGGGTTTATGAAACAAAGTACGGGGACTTCGATAAAGACATTTGCACACGCCCTACACAGAGAGAGCAAATGATTGATTTCGAACAATCCCTAAGATTTATGTCTGTAATTATAATCGATAGAATAGCATTAATCCTTACAACTATTTGTATTTATATAAATTGGGTATCTTCATTTTTATTCGATTTTTTTTTCATATAATTATGATTATATACACTACAGGGGATTCACAAACAGTTCAAAAGCAAAAGAAAACAATTAAATTTACAAACCGATTGGTTTTCATCCAATGCGTCAATCAAAACATAAATCTGAGAAGAAGCAACATTTTTTGGCCCTTTTTTAGAAAACAAAAACAAATTCTGCAGGAGTTTAAGTAAAAACAGCATTTGTTTCTAAAAGCGATTTATATAGGGGAGTAGGACACTCTCCGTTAAACTCTCCTATAGCTTCGGTCAGAGGGAATTACAACCCCCTTCATGAAGTTTTACCTGGAAGATATAAATTTTGATTGATGGAAGATTAGTTTAGCCAACCCTGACATTACAATAAACATTGTTATAATTAGATAGGGTTCAAGCTCATCCAGCTTCCAGCTTGCTAACCTATGAATATGAAGACGACGTTAAATCATTATTATTAATTATATTTGATGTGGTAATAAAGCAAATAGTTGTACTATATGGATGTAGGCGATTGTATCAATATAATGAAGCCGACTTTCGATTTTAATTTTTATTTATTTCAAGCTTTTAACCAGCATGGGTACACATAAACTTTGAAACAAAGAGAAGCTGTCCATTAAAAAAAGTTTCTTTACTTGTAAACTTGTAATTCTAAAAAAGCTTATTAACAATAAAAACTTAAATAAAAGTTGTCTTCTTTATATTGGTATTATCGCCTACCACTTATAAAACTACTGATTTAGTAAATTGAACCCTTTTAAATAAACCTTGGTGGTGTCTAATTTTCATTGAAATATGTGTAGTCATAAATTGAGTCTAAAAGTCGTCTTCCCATTCAAGAGTTGTTTGGTTAGCACTGTAGTCAAAGGAACATAAAACGCAGAAATTGGAAGCTGTGTACTCAATTCCATTTTTCTTATTATGGTGATTTTCAACCTACTGGTAGTAATATTATTTTTCATGAACATCATATGCGAATAAGATAAGCTGAAATATCGTCTTGATATTCCAAAATTCAAAAATTTTGAACTTTTTTTTTTGAAAAAACAATCCCGCCGTTTGGCAACAATATACGGCAACAATAACATATATATATATATAAGAATGTCTTGTTTTATTTTATAGATATAGTTAAATACGAAAAACTGAAGATCAAATTTGTTCTTTTAATATGTTAAAATAGTCTTATAATGTTATTTATTGATGTGTATTTTTAAATAACAATTATTAAAAAAATTTTACTAACCAATTAATTTTAAGCATTATTAATCTACATATTTATATAATTTGTTTGTCTGGGTGCCTGTTTATTTGTATCCAATAAATGTCAAAACAGCTGAACCTATCGGGTCCAATTTTTTTGTGGGACCTCACATAACCCCAGCTAGGGAAGGTTTACGGATGATCAAAATTTTAAAAATTAGCCTCCAACGCAATTCAATTTTCATTAAATTTTTTAACAGTGTATACAAAGAGAAAATATTTACAATGAAAAACGAGGATGTGCGCATAGTAATTTTATAAATGTGCATGTGTAATGACAATAATATTAAAAATAATGATAATAATAATAATAATAATAATAATAATAATAGTCTGTAATTCATCCTGTTTTTTCATACTAATTAGATTGACTTGTTACGAATTAAAATAGGAATATAATGGGGAAAAAAATAAATCAACCTAAACTTGTTGTGTTTGTTTACAAATAAATTAACCGNGGGGTTGAGGGGGAGGGGGCTTATTACGCATATATTAATTGAATCCATTTCTCATAAATTATACCTTGAATTACATGAACTTTTCCTGATTGTTTTATGCTTCATTTTCTCCTTCATTATTTTTTTCATACATATCTTTTAACCGATCACAATTTTTCTCTAATACTTGCATCTCCCTAGCTCCACCACTATATTTTTATTGTTCCCCTTTTCTCTCCTCCTTCTTCACTTTCTCATTATAAATAATTTTTCCCTTTTTAAGAAATGTTTTTGTTATTTAATTCTAATTATTCCCATACGTTTTTCAACAGTAGACATGTGCAAGTCACTTTTGTAGAGAAGCCACAATTGAAAATTTTAAAAAAAATTATAAACATTGATATCGAGTTCTAAATCTTTACACGAAGGGTCACTTGAAACTACGTCATCAGTCCCTTTAAGATTTTGTCATTTCTAACGGTATAATATTTCTTTTATGGCGCTTCGCGCCCATCTTCGATTTCAATTTTAACATTGAAAACAAAGAAAAAAATATTCGGGAATTTTACAAAAAAAATTGCGGATTTTCAAGAATTTTAATTTTTTTTACAAAAATAAAAAACTTTTAAGCACAAATTTTTTTAATTTTTATCTTTCATAAACCTTCCCTGAAGTCACGTAAGATCCCGCAAAAAAATTAGGCCCCTGTGTGTTCAGCCGTTTTAACGTCTATTGGACACAAACAAACAGACAGACAAGCCAAATTCATCAATAGATATTGATACATCCTAAGCTATCGTTCGATGAAGTCGTAACAATGACGACCTTCAGCTCGTTTATAACTGGTATTTTTTTATGTAATAGTTTAATTTAATAAACAATAAAAATAAATAATTTAAGAAACACTTTAAAAAAAATTGAATTTTGAAAAAAAAATTTGAATTTTGAAAAAAAAAGTTTGAATTTTGATAAAAAATTAGAATTTAAAAAAAAAATTTGAATTTTGAAAAAAAAGTTTGAATTTTGATAAAAAATTAGAATTTTGAAAAAAAAATCTTGAATTTTGAAAAAAAAGTATGAATTTTGAAAAAAAGTCTGAATTTTTTTTAAAAAGTTTGAATTTGAAAAGCTAAAAATTCCAATTTGGGAAAAAATCTATTTAAATTTTTTTGTCAGCCAATTTGGTTTAGCCGTTTGATGGCCAGCTATAGCTAACATATATATATTNGTCGTCCATGCAGTAAAATAAGAAAATAAAAGTACATCTGAAGGAAGCCATATGAGTTTATGAAAAAAATTTATTCATTCAGTTCTGTACAGTCGTCTCTGAATTATCATCCTACTGTGGGTAACCCTGTTATATGGTTAAAATAAGTTAAGGATATCGGTTGTCCGTAATACCCAAACTGAAATTCTAAAAAATCCGGGAAATTAGGAACCAATCGATAAATAAAGAAATCCTCGAAAGTCCTTCTCTGGTCTCTGGTTTGTAAGTACTGTTCACTGTGTGTATACTGTAAACTGTGGAACTCATATATTCGGTATCAACCCAAAACTGGGACTTTCTCAAGGAGAAAGCAGAATCAAAATTCAGTCTCCGTATTTCACGTAACTCAGGCTTAATCTTATCATCTTAGCCCTTTATCGGATGGATCCGCTAGTTAACCCATAATGTTATGAAATTGTCAGAGCCCAGAGGGCGGGGGGGGGGGCCGGGGATGTATTGCCCCCACAGTTTCTAGACATAAAATCTTAATGGTTGCGTTTTTTGTTGTTGTGGATAACCCCATGACCTTGAGAGAATGCGTAACAACATAGGGTGGTATTGTTAGAAATTGCCTGCATTTCTCAAACTAATGCAATCAATTCAAGCCAATGTTGGTTATAAAAAGGAAATTTCTCAATTAGAGATTTTTTGTCGGCTAAATTTAAAGACTTATAATAGAATTTAAAATATTTTTTCTTTACACAACAATACTTGATTTTTCAATTTCCTAAGGAGTAGGGGCACTTTACAGTTTACAGTTTACAGTTTACAGTTTACAGTTTACAGTTTACAGTTTACAGTTTACAGTTTACAGTTTACAGTTTACAGTTTACAGTTTACAGTTTACAGTTTACAGTTTACAGTTTACAGTTTACAGTTTACAGTTTACAGTTTACAGTTTACAGTTTACAGTTTACAGTTTACAGTTTACAGTTTACAGTTTACAGTTTACAGTTTACAGTTTACAGTTTACAGTTTACAGTTTACAGTTTACAGTTTACAGTTTACACCCCTTTTAGGCTCGTGTATAGTATGTACATTAATTACAGTGGATTTCTGACTCTAAAGAAGTTTGTAGTAAGATTTCGATTCTACTGGAGACCACTGGAGGGATTTCATTTTTACTGGAGGGGCTTGAAAAATCGCAATTTGTAATTTTAAGGGTGACTTGCATTCCATCTATCTAAGGGGTTTATGGTTCCTCTGATTCAGAAATTCCTCAAGTGGAATTATAAATACCAGGAAGGATATCTGAATCCCTCCAGTGGAATTATAAATACCAGGAAGGATATCTGAATCCCTCCAGTGGAATTATAAATACCTGGAAGGATATCTGAATTCCTCCAGTGGAATTATAAATACCAGGAAGGATATCTGAATCCCTCCAGTGGAATTATAAATACCTGGAAGGATATCTGAATCCCTCCAGTGGAATTATAAATACCTGGAAGGATATCTGAATTCCTGCAGTGGACTAATTTTACCAGGATGGATATCCGCGGTGGGTATCGACTCGAATCCCTCCGGTGGAATTATAAACCCACTGGAAAGATATCTTAATCCCTCCAATGGAATGTAAATAACCCTGCGCAAAGTTTTAAATTGTAAAAAACAATTTTTTAAACCCTCCAGTTAAAATGAGTTTTTTTCGGTGGTCTCCAGTGAAACATTCAACCCCTTTTAATACAATTATACAATACTAGGCTTTAAGGGCGCTTCTCGCCCATCTTCCATTTCAATTGTGAACATTTTCTCTTTGTAAACATTGTAAAACGAAAACAACAAAAAAGTTTGCGGATTTTATAAAAAAAATTCGTGGATTTTCAAAATTTAATGAAAATCAAATTTTCAACACCCACGCATAGTATTATATAGATACAATACATATAGGTCTAATTTCTTCAATTGTTGATTAATTGAGTATTTAATCTTTATTTTAAGTTTCCTTCACCGATACACTCCAAACAATCTGAACTGTTTAATTTGGATACTTGAGTGCTAAACATTTAAGGCTAGTAATTCTTCATTTCTTCATTTCATTATTCATCATGCACTCTATCTTTGCAATATATTGTTACATTTCACTGTGACGCATCATATTGCTGATGTGACACAGACAAAAATAGAAAGTTTTATATAAACTTAATAAACTAAAACGCAAATTTATTCAAGCATATTTTGGAAATATATTTTTATTCGGTCTTGGAACTCTTGGTTCAATATTTTTGCAAAAAAACGCGTTGGGTCAAGTACATTTTGGGCACACTAGATAGGCTGGTACAAGTAAACGTTAGACAAATATTCTTGTACCGGTTTGGACACACTAGACGGGCTGGTACCACTAGATAGGCTGGTACAAGTAAACGTTAGACAAATATTCTTGTACCGGTTTGGACACACTAGACGGGCTGGTACAAATAAAAACCAGACAAGTATTCTTGTACCGGTTTGGGTACACTAGACGGGCTGGTACAAGCTTAAACAATAGACAAGTATTCTTGTACCGGTTTGGGTACACTAAACGGGCTGGTACAAGCTTAAACACTAGACAAGTATTCTTGTACCGGTTTGGGTACACTAATTGTGCTGGTACAAGCTTAAACACTAGACAAGTATTCTTTTACCGGTTTGGGTACACTAGACGGGCTGGTACAAGTAAACAATAGACAGGCTGGTACAAGTAAACACAAGACAAGTATTCTTGTACCGGTTTGGGTACACTAGACGGGCTGATACAAGTGAACACTAGACAGGCTGGTACAAGTAAACACAAGACAAGTGTTCTTGTACCGGTTTGGGTACACTAGACGGGCTGGTACAAGTAAACACTAGACAGGCTGGTACCAGTAAACACAAGACAAGTATTCTTGTACCGGCAATGATTGAACTCACTCTTCAGTTTTAACACTTAACAACATCTTAAATAAAACACTGCACTTGATCAACTTAGACAAAGAATTAACAATTTTTTTATTTATTTAGCATTTTTGGTTTGTACTGATGAATAATAACTTTATTCAACAAAAAAGTTTGGATGTCGTCTTCGTTTTGAATATCTATCTTCTACCGTATTGGACTCCGGCCCTGTGTCTCACTCCCCACTTAAAGTTGGCCTAAAACATACAATTCATTATTTTTGAAAAGAAATTTTTTGAAAAGATTACAATTAAAATTTATTATTATCAATATTAACAGTAATGCCATTTTTTCAAAGCTAATTTTTTTAAGTAAGTTATTTGAACAAATTGTGAAATTTCCGTTTAGTTTTGACGTTTATTTCAGATTCAAAGAAACATACAAACATCAGGCATACTTTATTTTTTTGTGGATCATCTGGCTATCTATCTATCTATTTTAAATATCTTTCTATTATTCTATCTTTAATATATCAATCTATCTATCTATCAAAACTGCAATACATCAATCTATATATGTATTAAACCATGTTTCCTATCCACTCAAATCATAATTTTCACAAAACTTTCTCCTGAGTTATTTATAAATGTGTATTTCCTTGTTTCTTACGCGCAGGCGCAACTTTAGATATTACAAAGGGGTGCGCAATTAGATGCGCAATGTGGAAATTTCTGTTTTCTAGAAAATGGTAATAATTGTTAATACAGGGAAAGAAGCTGCAGAGAGGGGGAAGGCTTTGCTTTGGATTTGACGTGTTACAGATACAAACCAAATACGTGCAGTATATTTTCTCAAAGATGAAAACATCGTGAAAATAAGATTCATTCCCTTTAATAGTGCGTGTATTTATCTTTTTTACGCTGAGAAATATGTATAGAAATTTTTTTAGATAAAACATTGTTTAGATGAATGACAATTTTTTTTCTCAAGCTTCTCATTCATTCTTGTTTCTATCTATCTATCTATCTATCTATCTATCTATCTATCTATCTATCTATCTATCTATCTATCTATCTATCTATCTATCTATCTATCTATCTATCTATACTATCTATTGTATATATTTATATATATATAGTATTTTCAACTTTGTTCAGTTTAAATATACATTTTAGATGTTTAAATATATATTTTCCAAGACAAAATGTTTCATGGGTCTAACCCAATCCTCAGTTGGAATAAAACTATATATATATTCACATACCTATCTTTATCTATATATCTATTTATAGATTTAGTTAGTTATTTTTTTATAACTAAGCACCATAGTTTCATGACAAAATGTTCAAGAGAGCACAAGTATGTTATAGTTATTGTAAATTGTTGTAAATACAGATAACAATATACGTACATGGGCCAGTAAACCAATCTCCTCATTACACCCCAAGCTGAGCGAACTGACCCGAAGAAATAACGGGGTTTAGTGGAGTGTGATCAATATCTATCTATCTGTATATTTACCAACCAACCTTTTAATCTACATATTGAAATATCTATCTATCACCTACCTATATTCCCATAAATATATTTATCTGTATATCTACCTACCTACTTACCAGTATTCTAATATATATATCTGTATCTATCTACCTACCTACCTAAATACCTACCTATATTTCAATCTATCTATGGTCCCATCAATATAATCTATCTATCTATCTATGACCCTGATCCCTATATTGTTTGGTGTTGAATTGAAGATTTCTCAAGTCCAAGGTTTCCATGTAGTCTCGAGGGTATAGAGCAGAGTAGGACCTGGATCTATTAATTCTGATAAGGTCAATGGGAGGAGATCAGATAGATCGAGGTTATATTTTATTGGCTGGAGAGGGGAGGGATGTTACAATGGTTACATATTATTAGTATGTATCTTCTGTAAAAGGTAAAAGTGACACGAATTCTAACCTGACGGTATTAATAGAACAGTGTGATATCTATCTATAAATTTGGCTTGTCTGTCTGTTTGTTTGTTTGTTTGTTTGTATGTCTGTTTGTTTGTATCCAATAAACGTCAAAATGGCTGAACCGATCGGGCCCAAATTTTTTGTGGGACATCTAGGGACCCCAGGGAAGGTTTATGAATGATCAAAATTTCAAATATTTGTCTCCATCAAAATTCGATCNATAGGATGGATACTGGATATATAATACTTGGTAATTGGAATAGGATGGATACTGGATATATAATACTTGGTAATTGGAATAGGATGGATACTGGATATATAATACTTGGTAATTGGAATAGGATGGATACTGGATATATAATACTTGGTAATTGGAATAGGATGGATACTGGATATATAATACTTGGTAATTGGAATAGGATGGATGCTGGATATATAATACTTGGTAATTGGAATAGGATTTATACTGGATATATAATAACGAATACTCGACAATTGGTTTTTATAGGATACTGATTGATAATTGGTATTATAGGATACGGAACAGTGGAGGACTGTTATTTTAGGATACAGGATACTGAATATTTTGGTATTCTAAGATACTGGATACCCATGGTATTATAGGATACATGAAATATAAATTGTTACTTTTATGAATTGTTCAATACTAAATCTAAATGAATTAAGTCTTTGCTTCAAGATCTGATTTTCTGATCCCAAAGTCCTCGCAACCCAATGTCATAAATTTTGAATATTACAAGCAAAAAATTCTTCTAGATCAAATAATCTAAGTTTGAAATATCAAAGGTTTTCAACATCAGTTTGCAAAGATATAGGGTTTATAAAAAAGTTTGTGACAAAGTCTCAATTAATTTTAAGTGTTTTAGCTCAAATTTTTATTCATGATAATTATTATTTTTATTTTTAATTTCCTGTCAAATTAAACACTTGTGCAATATAAAATTAAACGTGAGTGCAATGTCCGATCATCAACGGGTTCAATATCCAAATAAATACGAATAAATTATTTTTGTGTTGAAAGTTAAACTTACGAACAAAAGAATATACGAATAAATTATTTTTGTGTTGAAGGTTAAATTTACAAACAAAAGAATGAAATCTTGACACACATTCTAATCCAGAAAATCAACGAGACAGTCCATCCTTTCCGTCGTTTCCATCCTTTCCATCCTTTCCATTCTTTCCATCCTTTCCATCCTTTCCATCCTTTCCATTCTTTCCATCCTTTCCATCCTTTCCATCCTTTCCATCCTTTCCATGCTTTCCATCCTTTACTATCCTACCTATAATAGTTTCGACAATATCCCAGCAAGTCCTTGAAAGTTATTACAGGATACTGGGTGTATGTAATTAACCCTTAGTTCCTCTACACAAATCAGTGGTTTAAACCAATTTAAACCTTTGGGTCAGGGTTGGGGAAAATTGGGGCTATTTTGGCGGTGAGGTGAGGGGGGTTGTGATGGTAAAAATATAATATTCTGTAATATTTTCTGAAAAAGATAACTTTGAAATAATCGAAAAATTTATGAGCGAAAACAAATCTTTCAAATATATCATTATTGAGATCAAAATATTAGTCTTCAAGCACTAAATTTGTCATCAACCAAAAAAAAGGGGGGGGGGTGGAAAGATATTTGCATTAAAATCTGTTTTTTAGCCTTATATCAACAATTTTCGAAGTATCAAAGAAACGTAAAAATGACGCCATGTTAACATGTTTTGGAAAAATTCAATAATCCACATCGCTCATATCTATGTTCTTTAAATTATTGAATTTATTAATAAATTATTTATTTTCATATTTTTTAAAATTAATTTGCTTTTACATTTTCTCCTGTATAATGGATTTGACATGTTCGATAGTAGTTTCAACCTTTTATAAATTAAACTCAAATCATAAAATATGTAAAATAGTGAATAAAGAACAAAAAGATAAAAATATATTGATTGATAAATATACCTATCTATCTATTTACCTATCTATCTAGCTATTTATATATTTATCTATCTATCTATCTATCTATCTATATATCTATCTATCTATCCTAATATCTACCTCTTGATTTACAATACCATAAATGCGTAACCTAAAGTGTTTCTAAGGTCAAGGGCTGTATTTATGACGGAAAGCGTCATTAAGCGTCAACCTTTCTCGCGCGTAAGGAACATCTTGACGCGCTCCGGCGCACTAGAAATTTGTATCTTTCTATCTTTGAGCTCATTCTCCGAACCAATAAATGGAAGAAATCGAATGTGTTTTGATTCAGTTGAAATCCAACATCCAGACAAATATGAAGGTATATTTTACTGTGTTTCTTGGCATATAGCGGTCTCAAAAATAATTTGGAAGACGACTTTTTTACTGAATACTACCCTACTGATCAGTTCACTTAACATGATAGAGAAGTTCCTAAAATGGATTGCAAGTTTATAATCTTTCTAAAATTTAGCATTACTTCTTCGTATCTAAAAGATTACAGATATATTGATTTTTATACAATTTTCAAAGAAACCTTTTAAGCCATAATATCTGATCAATTACATGGAAGATATTTCCGCTTTCTAGCTTTAAAAGTGTTTAATTTGTTTTAGAATAATTTCCTCCTATGCTGTTGTAGCTTGCGTATATATATATATATTCGGAAATAGGAGTGGTTTTATCACAATAGTCTTTTGTCAACATGCACAAATTTGCATTCTAATAAATCTCAACAGAGCTGAAAACTTTAGAATGGTGGATATCGAGATCAATGCTTGTTCTCCTCTTGTTATTAATCTACAGATAAATTAACTGATCAGGATTAAGGATATTTGATTCTAAAGTTTTCAGCTCAAATTGATTTTATATTGCAAACAAGTAATGTTTAATTAATTTTAGGTTTTAATAATTGCTGCAGCTATAGTTGCAGTCTGCTCTGCTCGGCCCCGCTATCTAGTGGTAGAGATTGATGACGGGGAGCTCATTCCTCAAGGTAATTATTTTTGAATTATCGAACACTTTGATAGAATTTAACATCACCATATCAATTTGATATCATTGGCTATCATTAATTCAGAACTAAAAATAAATTATAAATATACTATGTTAAAATATTTCTAATGATATCTTAGTTTGATAGACAATTATTAACAGAACACCACATATAAAAATTGTAAAACCCTAAAATCTGAAAATGTCTAACCTTGAAGAAGAGGATGAATGTTTAGGTCGAAAAGAGATTTAATAATGGAGAGGAAGGAGAAAATCAAAGAGAATATTGGGATACTTGGCAAACAGGCCACACGACCTAAGAAATACAATGAATAAAATGTAAACCCCCCCCCCCC